TTAAGGTGTTGTTGAGGTACACGGAGAGGTGAGAGGGGGATTGAATGTGGGCAAGGTGGAGGGAGCAGGAATTAAATCGGCGCCGCTCGTTTTTCTGACCGCCGCGGGGCGAGCCGCTCACCATTTTGTTGTTGATCTCGTGGAAGTGGATCTCGCAGACCTTCTCGACCACATCCTCGTTCTCGAATGTCACGAATCCGAACCCTGACGAGAGGAGAAACAAGAACTTGTAAAAAACACACACTCACTCACACGCACAGACGCACTAGGCCTCTCCTGTACAGTAGGAGAGCCAATAGCGTGCAGTAATTAGCGCTGTAATAGCCGCTTAACACATTGTCCCCCCTCCCCCACTTTCAACGCTGCTATTTTGCACTCATCCTTGACCCCCAGCCGCCCTCGCCCCCTCCTTCCTGAGCCAGAAGGACTGGGCAAAGCTGGTAGGTTGTCATAATCGATCAATCCCAGGGTGGGGAGGAGGTGCTTAAGGAGGCTTTATCCTGATCCCGATTAACAGACTGGCTAATTAGACTAGCCCCGTTTGTCTCCTCCAGCTCAGCCCACAGGAAGGAGACTCTTGTGGGGGGAGGGAGGGGGATCAATAGCCACCCAGGAAGGGCTTGGAGGAAGAGCAGTAAATATGGAGAGCAAGAGTGGAGCGCAGGAGAAACGAGCGAGCAGATCAGGTCGGCCTCGTCTCACCTCTGTGCCTGTTTGTGGTCTTGTCGAACATGAGCATGGCGTCGTCGACCTGGGGGGGAGACAAACAACACAGGGTGTTTTAGCGAGACTCTCCGTCCTGCCACGCGGCATATTGCCTGACCTCAGCCCTTCTCAAGTTCTGCAGGGAGGCTCAGCAACAGATGGACAGAGAGGAGGAAGACTGGGGCAGGGGGAGGAGGAGGAGAGACAGGTTACAAAGTGGTGGTCCGGGGTGGGAGGGAAAAGACAGGAAAATATGTTCACAACAGTTCCCAAAGCGTATGGTTAAAAAGTTGGACGCGGCGTCGTGAATGTCCCCCCATCCCTTACATGTGCCTCTCTTCTCCCTGCTAAAGTTTTAGATCTCCATAGAAACTGTAACAACAAGGGCCTGTAGAGAACAAATTTAAAAAAAAAATCCCCTTCAACCAACATCAAATATGCTTTTATGAATCTCGGAGAGAGAGAGAGAGAAAGAAAGAGACAGATAGAGAGAGAGAGAGAAACAGACAGAGAGACAGAGAGAGAGAGAATCGACGCAAACAAGAAGCCAGTCACAGACAGAAAGGTGAATCCGGCAGGTGGAGACTCGATGAGAGCGGAGAGAGCTGATAGCGAAAGGAATGGCAACAGGTGGAGATACGGTGAAAGAGAGAACAGAGAGTCCTGTAAGAGGGAGAAAGATTGGGTCAAAGAGGGAAAAAAGAGCGAAGAAACAAAGGCAGAGGGAGAACAAAGAGGCCTGCAGGCTTTGTTTGTTGGCACAGTCAGCCAAAAGTCCTCCTCCTCTTCTCCCTTTGACCTCTCCCTTCGGCCCGGCCTCCCTTTATGGAGCAAAGACACAGGTGTCTATTCAACACACACACACACAGACAGACAGAATCTTATGTCAGAGTTGACCCAATCTTTCTGCTGACAGGTCCAAACTTCAGGCTGGACGCAGAGGTACTTGTAAACATTTGGTAAATTCATCTGCGCTCCTGCTCTATATTAAGTTTACTGGATAAGTTCCCCCAGAATAATCTGTCACAGTCACATAAGAGCGTTAGTGATAGGACACTGTGCGTGTGTGTGTGTGTGTGTGCGCGCGAACCCCTGAGGACATTTTGCCCACAGAAAGGTCAAAGGTGAGTGAAGAGTGTGGTTGTGAAAGGGGACCTTTCAAGCAGCCTCTCAAGTCAATGTTTGCTTCCATCCTGACGGTTGCTCATTACGTCCAGGTCCGCCTGTTTCGTCTGGTTTTGATTCAGCGGGGAGAAAAATCATCAGAATTTGGAGCAATGAAAACTGGCCCAGAGAGTGCTGACTAATGCACACTTGCTGCTTAATAAGGAACGATAACGTAGCTAGAATAAATCCCAGCCTAACAAGGTTTCTCCCGTCTCCTGTGAAGTAAGAACATGAGCTGAGGCCTCACACAAATCCCCCCGAAGGACGTAAACAACAACATTAAACAGCCGCAAATGGAGTCGATTCCACCTCCCCGGCTATACTTTTTATTCTTCAAATGGCGCACGGCCAAACAATATTCCCTCTCATCCCCTTTTCTCTTTTCCCTCCCCACCTCTCATCTTCCCTGCCCATCCCTCTCCGCGCTCCTTTGTCCTCACCAGGACGGGACACAAAAGGTCCAGTGAGGCAGTCTAATCAGGAACTTCCATGGATGGCTGCAGCCCACATTTCACCGGCCATCCCTCGATATCCCTCTCGGCGAAAATTCATCTCGATGTTATGATTGAGGAGGGAGCGGCCAGGAGCTCGGGGCCGTATAGCTTCTGGCAGGGAAAATAAAGTGGCGCAACATGGCACGCTGCCTAAAAGCGGCCCCTGCGTCGAGGCGTTTAAAAAGTTTGGACAACTTTTTCAGTCGGGTTTAGTAGCGTGTCGTCGGCGTAGAAGAGAATCCCATCACGATCGACTAATCTGTTGATGCTCGATGTGGGAGGGAGAACGATTAGGAAAGTGGCGTCCCATATTCGGATAACTTCTGAACAAACTAGCAAAATACTTGCGTTGCTTTGTTTAGAGGTATAATAGACCTGGTTGCCCCCCCCCCCCACCCCAAACCCACCAACACACAGTCGCCCCATCTTTGCCCCAGTTCCCTCTCCAAAGTAAAGCCCTCCCTCCCCGGAGCCTTTGTGAGTCCATCATCCATTCTCTGCCTTGCACAGTTGAACTGAATTTCGATGTGAAGTTCAGGAAAAGTTCAACAAAAACCCAGATTTGGAATCTTAAGAGAAGTTTGTTGAGGTCGATTCAACTTCTTGTTTATTTTTTTTTTATTTTTATTATTTATATAAATATGTTAAAAGCCCACCCCTAACTCAGCCAGCGGACTGATCCTAACACCCACCTCATCCCTTCTCCTTCAGAACAAAAAGCCCCTTACCCACAGAATTACTTGGGGACAATGGGCGAGCCTGGTCACCACGGTAACGGGCCAGAAGGGGGTTGTGGGTAGTAGCAGCTGTTACATCAGATTAATTCAGATTCTGATAATCCCCCCACTTCTTCTTCACCATCACCACACGCTCTGTACAAAACTTTCCAAGCCCCCCCAACTCCCTCTGCTGATACCTCTTTCACCCCCCCTCTGCCCCTCTCTACCCCCCGCCCACCCCTAAGTTTGCCCGTCGCCTCATTATTTCTTCCTTTCCCCATCCTTTCGCGCCCTCCTCGTCCTCGCAGTAACTCTTTCCTCTCCAGGCACCTGCTTGACTGGAAGTGAAGTTTTTCTCAGAGCGAACTGCCACATTGCTGTGATGTGCTTCGACTTTCTAAGCTGTTGATTTGTTTCTGTGCTGATGCCACAGAGAAACATTTGGAAAATGTTTTTTTTGGGGGGGATTTGAAACAACCACGGCTTTCAAGGTCTCCAAAATAAATAAATATATAAATGTCACTCACCTTGCCAAACTGATCAAAGTATTGCTTCACGTCTTCGATGGTTGTGTTCACTGACAGGCCGCCCACAAAGATCTTCTTGGTTCGAGTCACCAGCTGAAAAGAAAAAACAACAAATCACAAGTTAGGCTTGTTAAATGTACATGGATTTCTACATAAATTTACCCATTTCATTTTGAGATTGCATATACTTCCATACGTCTGGTAGTTTTTCTAACATTGAACAAAAATGTTTTGTTCCACATTTGTTAAAACCGTCACCGTGCTGCGACAGAATGATACGAGACATTCGAGTAGAAACTTGACAAGACTTTCACAGTTGTCAGCTTTTTTAATAGTTATTCCGCCTCTTTGAACCAAGTTTCAGCTCTTGAAAGTATTTTTTTTTTAATCTTTAAAAATAAAAACAGTAGCAGTTTTAAAATTTTGGTTGCTGGCATTTAAACTAGACCTAGTTTTAAAAACTAAAGATGCTGTTACTGCATCAAGAACCCCAGGTTTTTGCACTTCTTTATATTTTTGAGTATGCACATATCACAAAATATTGATGGTTAATATATCAAACTCAGATTGTGATAAAAATCTAAAAAAGTGAACTTATTGATGTAAAATTGTTCTACAATTGATGCACAGTGTTTTTAGAAAAAAAAATGTATATTTTACAAATAGAATAGGAAAGCTCTAAACTTTTTCCACATTTGGGTTTCAATTTTTTTTATTAAGATTTCCAAAATTATAAACTTTTCCAGACAGCATAGGAACGCTTCCCTAAGAATGTTTTATTGGACTCTGTGCTGGACTCGGATATTTTGGTAGTCTGTAAAACATGCAAAAAAAATGCAGCCTGAAATGGGACAACATGGAATTCCTTCTATGTGCACGGATCTTAAAAACAGACTAAAACAGAAGAGAAAGTTTGTTTATTAAATTAAAACTTACGGGCAGCAAGACCAAAGAGTTCTGTATTCTTTTATGAAAGACTGACTAAACAAGCCAACAATTCAGAAAATGTAGAAGAGAAAACTATGTTGCCAAGATATAATTGTTGTTTGCACTTATTTGATTAAAGAAACAACAACATTTTAATAAGATAGAGACCAAAGTTGTGACAAACATTGCAGCAACAACTTTGAAAGTGTCACTGTTCTTCGAGTTGTTTTTTGTTTTTCACCAACCTACATTCCCATGTTGGACTGGACATTAGCAGGTCAGTTTTTGACTGATTTTTTAATCTGGAATGTTTTGATTTAAAGCCCAAAAATTGTTGCACATTTGATGAGTAAAATCCAGGTGGCATAAAGTTGAAACATGCTGGTGGAGCTGGAGTCAGTGGGCCCGTTAGCTACAGAGACAGAGCAGTCTGCCACTCAGTGGCACCTGCTGTTGGATAGTTTAATGAAATTAGTTTTATGCAAACAAAACAACTTTTGGATGATTGTTGCAGGAATATTAACCGAACAGAACATTCTATATACTCAACACTCTACAGAGGATGAACAAGGAGTTTCACCTTCAGCAGAAACAGGAAGGCTAAGGAAGTTGCTATATTGTATTTAACCTCCATCTGTCAATCCGTGTATAGGATCTGGAAATGTTGGCAGCTTGTTGAAACACTGATGCAAAGTAGAAATATTTACATGCTAGAAAATACTCTGTTGCATTTAGCAATGCTAACTGTGCTAACAGGGCTAGTTGCTGACAGACAATGAAATATTTTTAAAAAATGTTCACCTCAAATGTTCTTGACTTGATAACAATGTTACTGAACATTTTTATTGCTGGATGTGGCGACTTTCCACCATTTTATACATTATAAAAAGATCACATCCGACAGTTTCTGCTCAATTACAAATTACAAAATTATGAAATTACAAGTTACGATTAAGAAGAAGTGGCTGCCGTGAACAGAAAAGATTACAGACGAGCATTTAAAACCGGAGTTGAGAAGGTTTTTGCCCAGATAAACTGTTGTGCGATGGCAGCGGTCAGATTATACCGCATTAGCTCTCGTAAGACACTAGAAATACTCAACACACGCAAACCAGCTGGAAACAATTCGCAACAGGAGGAGACAATTCAACTCACCTTGGGCTGAGCTCGCCGAGGGAACGCCACCTTTGGGTCGATCTGTCGGAGAAAATGCAGAAAAACAGGGAACTGCTTAACGACGGCCCACGATACAGAAACCTCCGGCATCAGAACATTCTCTTCTTTAAACGGTTCTAAATAAAATTGTAATCCATCTTATCCCTTTGTTTTAACTCCTGAGTTGTCTTTGGTGAACAGCACCTGATTTTTTTGGACTCATCATGCGCTCCATTAAAAACGACACCATGAGTGGATCTTGATTTAGATAATTTTAATAAATTAAGCTGTTGAGAATATTATTTGAAATATGTCTGTCTGGTTAATTCTGAGTTCTCACGTCAAGAACAAAGCAAATGACTGAAGCATTTTGTCGACATATCAAAGAGAGTAACTCCTCCTGTCAAAGTTGTGCTTTCTGACACACAAATAGAAACAAACTAAAACATTTATGTGGTTAATGCCCCTTTGAAACACATTATTAATGACTGAAAACATGTAAATAGTGGAAACATCTTCTTAATTTGAAGTGATTATGGATCTGTAGTAATTTGTGATTTTTTGTTTTGTTTTTGTCTTTAATCTTTTCTCCCTCCATCATCATAAAATGCACCTTAACATCAGAAAATTAGCCCAGAGTTTATTTTAGGGCTTAGTTAGTAAAGATTTTTTTTTATTTTTATGCAAGCAGTTCAATTCAAATGTGACTGCTTAAATTATTGTAAAAATTATAAATGCGTGAAATAAAGTGTTTCTTTATAAATTCCTGGAATGCGTTTCTATTATTTCGATTCATTTATTTTACAAATAATTCAAAACGGATGATGAAACCTATCTGAGATTGTTTCATTAAGCCTGCACATGTCAATTTTCCCTTTTCATAATTTAGGAGAATTTGTGCACACATGCGGGCGCTCAGGTCGATTGCCTGGGAACGTCGGCCTCGCTCATCGCCACCGTGTGACATGTGATCTCATGGAATCTCACACGGGCGCCACAAACACAAACGCGCCTCACCTCCTCGGCGAGGAGGGCCCAAAGCGTGTCAGAGGGAGGGGGCTGGGAGGAGAAGACGGGAGCTGCCAATCACGCCGCGCTGACAGTACAGCGACCAGGTTTTGGGGTTTGTTCGATTTTTTGCAACAACAACATTATCGTTGATTATTCTGCTCTTTTTCAGGGGATCCGGATCCTCCTCTGCCTTGTAGTTCCCACTCGTCACTCCCAGAAGAGTGGACGATTAAAGCTGCAGTATGTAACTTTTATAAAAATACATATTTTTTTACATATTTGTTAAAATTATCAACATGTTGTGAGAGTGTAGTATGAGACAGATAATCTGTGAAAGAATCAAGCTCCTCTGGCTTCTCCCAATGCCAACTACAGAAATACACAGATCAGTCAGAAAAAAACAATCACAGACAGGAGGAGGGTCTTAGCGCTGTCAATCATGCTTACCCCTTGCTGCTTGCTACGCTACAATTTCTCCCCATCAGCAGAACCTGTCGTAAATGCTAAGGCTAGTTAGCATGTCCACCAATTATGGCAGATAAACATCTTTCCTGTAACGGTGAGTTGTTCATCCTCCTTTAACAGAGCGCGTACACGAGATTGATTGACAGCGCTAAGATTTTCCTCCTGGCTCTGACTGGTTGTTTCTGACCGAGAGCGGCACATTTCTTCAGACGGCATTAGTAGAACTGGGAGGAGATAATCTGTCTCATATTATACCATCACAACAAAAGGACATTTTTAGCAAATATGTTTTTGTTTTGTTTTTTTTTATAAAAGTTGCATATTCCAGCTTCAGTTTTTATGTAACTTATCTAAACATTTCAATCTTAAAGTCACAACAAGCAGTGGAGAGGCCCACTGATTGGAGAGAAAACCACACCATGCCATGAAGATGCAATCACAGACAGTCTGTAAAACTGAAATCTGAGACCTCTATATTAGTCTATGCTGGTCTAATAGAGCTAGAGAACAACTAGACTACGCCACACTGTACTGCTGTTACACTAACAGACGGTACAGTACAGTGCTATGATTAGTCCTTAACCATGAAGAGGGTAGAGTTGAACTACAACAGACTGCTAGAGCCTCTATGGTAAACCACATGCGTTTACCAGAGTGAGGGGCATCGGTGATGCTTCTAACCAGAGCTGATGACACCGCGAGTTGTCAAAGAAAAACAAATCATTTCCTCTTTTCTTACTTCTGTTCTAGACAGCAGAGTGAAAACCACTAGATGCTAATTACTTTAGGATCAGATGCAGAGTCTACTGTTTAGTCTCTATTGGTGTCTAGACTAGTCTGATAGTCACCTCCGGTCACCAACCCTTCCTGATGTCCAACACTCCTGTGCGCGCACACACACACACACACACACAAACAGAAGTCAAACAGAAGTCAAACAGGTGGCAGCGCACAACACATCCGAGGGCTGGGGATAATGGTGGACATGAAAAAGATACAATGTACTCCTGAAGGATATCGGTTTGTTGTGTAGAGAGAGAAAAAAAAATAGAAGAGATGATTGTCTGCATATCTGTCTTCTTACAGCTGCATTTAACCCTTATGATCGTCTGCATTTGTACTTACCAACAATGTTTACATGCAAATAATTAACCATCAACTTGCTTTAATTGTTTGTGAAAATATGTTTTTGTGTATTTGCTAAAGCTGTCACTATGACCGGATAGTATAATATGAAAATTATTGAGGTAACACTGTTTCCTCCCTGTTTTCCTACTGCCATCTGCAGAAATACCCCACTCAGCCAGAAACAACAAATCAGAGCCAGGAGGAGGGTCTTAGTATTGTCAATCATGTTCGTAAATGTGCTGCTCACACCCTTGCCCTTGCTCTTTGCTATGCTAGATCTCCTTCCCTACACTGGAGCCTACTGGGAATGGTAAGGCTGGTTAGCATGGCCACAAATGACGGCGGATAAACAGCTCCAGTAAACTGGCAATTGTGAGCAGCACGTACATGAGCATGATTGACAGCACAAAGATTTGTCCGTAGTGCTCTGAGTGGTTGTTTCTGACTAGGAGTGGTCCATTTCTGCAGATTGCAGTGGGACCACACAGCAGAGGAGCTTGACTGTTTTCATTAATCATCTGTGACACTATCACAACATTTTAACAAATATGTAAAAAAAAACATTTTTACAAAAGATAGCTACTGCAGCTTTAAGAAAAATAAGCAAAATGTATTCAACTTCTTGAATACTTGAAAGTTTCCATAATGTATCGGCTGTCGCCAAACGTTTGTGCATTTTATTGGGATTGTATATATATGGCACATAAATAATCACTGAATAAAATAAAAACATGTTGAATGCATTGATATTCACAACTTTTATGCTGATAAAACTACAAAAAAAAAATAATTGCTTTCAGAAGTCGCATAATTATGAAGCAGAATCCATCTGTGAGAGAGTTAATCTGAGTAATAAGATTAAATGTGGCTTTTCTGTGAAGGCCTCACAGAAAAGCCATATTGGAGAACATTAGAGAAGAAAAAGCATCATGAAGACCAAGGTTATGGACAAGCTTACAGCAAGGTTTTGGTCAAAGACCCAAAACTGAATTTTCTTTGGACCCACAAACAAAATGCCATGTTTGGAAAAAAACAACAACAACAAAAAAAAAAACCTGAACACACTATTCTCAGTGAAAATGTGGTGGTAGCATTATGCAAGCATGCAAAGGGATGCTGATCAGAGTTGATGGAGCTAAATGCAGGTTAATCCTGGAAGAAAACCTGTTAGAGGATGCTAACGCCTTCTACAAGGAGCCTAAACCTCCAGCAAAGGCCATAGCGGAAAGATTTAGGCCAGTGGTGTGCAAACGTTTTTGCCCCTGTGGCCAAAACTGGTTAAATCAAACCACAAAATTCAGTACATTTAAATTTTTAAGTTTATGTTGTAGTGATATTTCTCTCTTTTTTTATATATACTTGCACAATAATAAATACAATTTTCATGAAATCTATTACTGCTGCCACCAATGATTAGTTTAGTAAGGAATTATTCTATCAATTATTCTCATAATCAAATAATTGGAAAAAAAGGGACAGATTTTTCATTTAACAATTTAAACTTATTTTATTAACTATTAAAAACACATGAAATGAAAATTAAACAAATAATTAAATGTCATTTAAAAAAATCTAACATTTTATTGCCTAAAATGTAATAACGGTATGCATTGAGAGAGCTCTTGACCATTTGAAGCAAATGATGAATATTTACATATAGATTTTTCATCTGAAATGTAAACTGCATATTTTTTGTACAGTTTTGGTTTAATTACTGCTCTGAGTCTGTCACTTTAGGAAATGTCCTTTTTCATAGTCAGTTCACCTCAGTTAACGATTAATCGATTATGAAATTATTTCAATAATCAATTAATCACAATTAACCTGATTAATCATCTCAGTCCTAAAATCCATTAATCCTTGAATATCCAAAACATAAAACGGCCTTGCAAAGAAAAAAAAAGAAAAAATCCAAATTTCAGTGGTCATCAGTTGTTTTTCATTTTGTTGACAACATTTTTGCCGTTCTTGATTTGTGGTTGAGGGGAAGGGTTGGATGGGGAGCGATCATCAAAATCATTTCAAGGGGCCACAAATGGCCCACTGGCCACAGTTTGGACACCCCTGTTCTAGATAAAAAGATTGTAATGGCCTAGTCAAAGTCCAGACCTAAATTCAATTCAGAGTGTGTATTTACAGATGATAATTTTAAAAATGAGAAAGGGCAGAAAAAAAAATATATATATATATATATATATATATATATATATTTTTTTTTTTTCCCCGATATGCAGAAAAAAACAGTTGCAGTACACTTGCTAAAAGGAAATTGGGGGATGGGGAGAAGCAGCATCACTTCTCCTCCATTTTCTTCAGTAGTGTTTTGTTCCTGAAGTAAATAGAAGTTTTACCGAAAACTAAACGTTTACAGCGTAACGTCATGAAGACCTTACTGCGTTTAAACCTGTGTGGCAAAGTAGCAGAGCAGGAGCTGAAGC